ACACACACATTCGTACAGCACTCTACTACACACACATTCGTACAGCACTCTACTACACACACATTCGTACAGCACTCTACTACACACACATTCATACAGCACTCTACCACAAAGATAATCTGAATTTGTAGGGATTAATCAGTTAGTGAGATCACATTCATACACTGATGGGACACACATCAGAGGCAACGAGGGATTCAGTGTCTTCCCCAGGGACACGCCAACATTTGAAATCGGACCCCCAACTCTCCCACTGGAGGATGACTGCTCTAACTATCCAGCTACAGCCACCCCTAAGTTTTAAACAAAGCCAGTTTCACTAAAATTGACCAACTGGTTCATGAGTTATTTTGCTAACACACAAGTGAGTGCACATATAAAATAATGTTTGCTTTTACACGTTGCCTTTCTCAAAGATGTTATTTTTTCTAGGACAGTGGAGACGTTTTATGGTCCTACTGTAGAGCCACGCCTTTCTTCTCATCACCAAACTCGTCCCGTGGACACGTTGTGATCGGCTCTGTGGACGGACACATCTGCTGCCTCACCGACTCGGGCAAACTGGTGACAAACACACTCGGACATTGTTGTTTCTGTCAGTCATGATCTTTATTACACATATATTTAGCCACGTGTCCCTTTCAGTTGATGAAATAGAAACAAACATTTACATCGAGCTTGGAGGGCTCTTAGTGGGATCTACGATGCAACGTTTAAATTCTGTCTTTAAGGGGTAAGATGAGCAGGTTTTAATGAAGTTGCATGTTAATCCATGTTTCTGTCAGCCCACTTCAACAAATACATTAAGAAAAAAATTATTACCAATATGACAATATTATGATCATTAAAAAGATTTCACGACACTTGACTTTCTATCTAATGAACAAGATTGATTCCTTACATTGATCCTTACGGATTGTGTGAGTTTACTGGCAGTTTAACACAAATGTAAACAAAGTTGGTGCAATTATCTTTCCATCCATAAAAGGTAGGCAGTTCTCGTATTGCTTTTGTGTGTAATTTGTCTGTTAGCAAAATATCTCAGGTTTTAACCAATGGTAAATGGACTGTACTTACATACAGTAGCACCTTTCTATCTTATCAAGACACTCAAAGCTCTTTACACGACAATATGTGTCCTCATTTACCCCTTCATACAGCACTCTACTATACATGTACAAAGACTAATCAGAGCTTTATCGCATTCATCAATGATGGGACACACATCGGAGGCAATGAGGGGTTCAGTGTCTTGCCCAGGGACACTTCGGCATGTGATTGCTGGTGGAATCGAACCCCCAACTCTTGCGTTGGAGGACGACTGCTCTAACCACTCAGCTAAAGCCGCCCTATCTCGGAGCAAGTTATTATTTAAGCAAAGCTCAAATTTAGTGATAGTAGCTGAAGGTTATTCAATTCAATTCAATTCAAAAATACTTTATTAATCCCAGAGGGATATTATTTGTTGTTGTAACTTGTTATCCTCATTTCATTAAGAGATGTTATAGATACTGATGCTGTAGACAGGAAGGATCTCTTGTAAAGGTCCATCCCACAGTGGATCCTAAGAAACTGGCGGCAGATGCCGTCGTTATCCCTAACAGGCTGAGCGATAACTGACTGTATGAGATCTGTGTTAAAACGTTGGTATGCAGGGCAGCGGGTGATGTGCATTCCTCCAAACACATAAAAAGTAATTACATGATAGCCCCCTCTTCACGGCAGCTACTATATTAATCTGTTTTGATCCCTGCCAGTACCAACCAGATAACATTTTTAAACTGGCTGCTACGGAGGGTTCATTTTACATCTGCATTTTGTAAACTGACCCAAACCTGTAGTCAGTGCTGTTCCACCTGAGAGCCTGTTGCGTTTCTCTACAGCTGTGGCAGTTTTTAACCGAGGGTCCGGTCTTCTCCTCTCCGAGCTTCGCAGCAGAGCAGCAGAGGCTCCTGTGTGGGTCTCACGATGGGCGGGTGTACTGCCTCAACTGTGCCGACGGCTCTTTAGTCTGGACGTTTCAGACTACAGGAAAAGTGTACTCCACTCCGTGTGTGTTCGATGGCTCCGCTGCAGGTGAGAGAGGGTCCCTGGTGGGCGTGGCCTCCACAGACGGTACGGTGTGGATCCTGGATGCTCACGATGGACAGTCGGTGGCTTCATACACCCTACCTGGAGAGCTGTTTTCATCCCCGGTTGTCTGGAAACAATTCCTTATAATCGGGTGCCGTGATGATTATCTGTATTGTTTAAACTTGAATGTCAAAGAGTAAATGTACAGATTTAATGTATTTATGCAGCAGTATAGATATTTATATAATAAACAGTTCTACAAGACAACAAGAAGCACTGTGTTCTGTGGTTCAGACTTCAGTATTTAATTTACATCATTCTTAACTTTTTTTTTATTAGTTTATGAACTTTTTCATGAATATCTCTAAGTGGGACAAAAAAGTGCAAATAATACCAAACATCTTTTGTTACATTTAACACTGCGTACACTACAATATGTGCACGACCAACGTTAGAAACAAACTGACAGAGTGACTCGGCTGATGGAGCCTCTCTGAGCGGAGCGCTCGTAACTTACAGTAAATACTTACAGATGAGTATGTGAGGGCAGGAATAATGTTTGTGTAAGGGTACTGCTGAGGTCAATGCTTGTGTCATATCTGAGGGAAAATGATGACGTGAGCCTACGAGTGTTACAGAAGGACAGCTACGGCTGTGGGGGAAGGAAAGCTCACCTTCAGTTCTGGGAGTTTACTTTTCATGGCATCAAATACATCAGTTTTTACCTGGTCTTAAAATTATTCTGATCTAACCCTAAATGTTCAAAACAAACAACAGATTCCACCATTATGTATTAAAAACAGTCAAAATGGAACAGCCGTGTGAAAAACTAAGTTCACCCTAACATTCAGAGCCACCTGCCCCAGCAATCAGTGCTTTTCTGCATGAACCCATGATCTCACATGGTTGTGTAGGAATTTTGGTCCACTCTTCTTTCCAACGTTGCTTTGGTTCATTGCGGTTTATAAACATTTGTTTCAGCACAGCTCTCCTTAAGGGCTTTAGACCATTGCAGCACCTGGCCTCTCCATTCCACTGGAGATTTGTGCTGGTTTTGGACCATTGGTCTGTTTTAGGACCCAGTTTGGTCCAAGCTTCAGCTGTTGGACAGATGGCATCACATTTGACTCCAGAATCTTTTGGTGTACAAAGAAGTTCAAGGCTGCCTCTCACTGCACGGAGCACATGTCACACCATCAACCCTCCACCACCATGCAGAACAGCTGGAGGTGTTTGGCTCACACTGAATGTGGCATAATGTTGTTTGAACTGCCCCGTCTTGAACTTTATGCTAACAGAGGCCTACAGAGTCTTACATGAAGCTGTCTGGGTGTTTGGAAATTTCTCTGAGCATTGCATAGTCTGACCGTGGGGTGATTTTGCTAAGAAGTCCTGGGAAGATTTCCACTTGCAAATGATCGTTTTTAACGCAGAATGATCAACTCCAAATGTTCTTTAATTTTACCCAGATTGAGGGGCAGCATCTGTTGCTTTCACTGGATGAAAAATGAAAAGTTTCAGATTAGTTTTCTTCTTGCAGAGAGTGGTGAAGGCTGCACAGAAGTCTGTTGGAGTCAGTCTCCCCACCATCACAGACATCTACACCTCCAGATGCAGGAAGAGGGCCACCTGCATCATGAAGGACCACACTCATCCAGCACACACACTTTTTGCCCCACTCCCCTCAGGAAGGAGGTTGAGGAGCATTAAGTGTAGAACCACTAGACTGAGGAACAGCTTCTACCCTGAGGCTGTTAGACTCATGAATCTCTAACTAGAATAATCACTGTGAAAAATCACATGTTGCTGCTGATCTGTTTCATGTTGCTGCTGATCTGTTTCATGTTTCTGCTGATCTGTTTCATATTGTTGTGTTCATTCGTGCTCATCTGCTCACACAGACTCATGTTCGTGCTGCTGTTTGACGTAATATTTTTATACTACTAGTGCTTACCGTATTTTTAGTTTAACGGTTTTTAGTTCATATCTTAGATCTTATTATTGTTTTTATTTACATTTTATACTTTTGTTGGATGTAACTGGGACCCTGTGTGCACAATTTCGTTCCACCACATGTACCACATGTGATGCGAATAACAAAGAAACTCTGACTCTTCAAGGTAGCAACGATGGACTTAGTTTCTCCACACAACTTTTCGTGTTGGCTTCATTTTTGTTAAATAAATAACCGCATAGGGCAGTCTGTTGTGTTCGTACAACTGAGGTTAGATGAAGATAATTTTAGAGCCCGGTGAAGACCAAACCTTTTTGGGTTATGTTCTAATGTGTAAAACTAGAACTGAAAGAGGGTTGACGTTCTTTTTTCCCCTGACTGTAAGTTCCAGCATGCACATGCTGTTTCTGTCTTCAAGAAGAGTGCAAAGAATCCAGCTTTCAGTCAGTGTTGAGCCATTCAGTGAAAGCACCAGCAGCTCTCGTCCTGTGGTTTGTGTGAATGCACCTACGCTCTATGATCATGACTGTTTCTGTTTCGAACCGTCCAACAGCTCCTTGACCAGCCAGCACAGTCATCACGGACACAGTGAGAGTTGTTGAGCTAAGGTTTTCAGTCCAAATGTTTTTTACACAACAAACAAGGCTCAGAGAAAAGACACAATAGAGTTTCGATACTGATAAACCTGCGGCTGTACATAAACGATGCAGAGGAGACGCCTCTGACACTCCCGTCTGAGGAATGGTCATGCCGAGTTAGTTTTACTGGTAGCCCTTAAAACGTGATTCAGACGGAGACTTCCTGCTGATGAAACACTGCTGCTCATCACCTCTTTAATACACAAGAGTTGTACGGTGCTGAGCAAGAGATTAATATTTACAGCCATGGAGACGGCTCTAAAATGTAATTTAAAAAGTTGGCTGCTGGTCAGCCATGGCTGTGATTGGCTGCTGAGGACTTTAGCTTTAAGGGAACATCCACTTTGTGTACATGTGCATGCTCAACAGCTGTTCACATACATCTGTATTGTTTTGAGATATTAGCAGATTTTTATATGAAAGCAACAGCAGCCCAGAGTGTGAAAGGGTAACCATGTAATTTACGTGTTTCACAGTCAGGAAGAGTTTTCATGTTGAGAGATGTGACTGTTTTTGTTTCTTTTTTGGAAGATGGAGTGATCGTGACTCTTCAGGTGCCTCAGGGTCTGTGGGCAGTGCGCGGTCTCCATGCAGGCAGAGAAGCAGGTGGGTAAGGGTGTTATTTGATGATCTGAGGACAGTCACTCCAGGCTTTGGCCTTTCGTTTGGCCAGTGCAAGCCAGGCCGGCTCTGTGGACACCTGTGGAGAGTCGCTGGACGGGAAGCGCTTGGACACGTCCTTGACACCAGGTGGGGACGGCGTGGAGTCCGAGATCTCAACTGGAGTCACAAATAAACAAGTCAGGTTACACACCTTGTTTGCTGCACCCGACCAATATTTTTTAACTTAAAAAAAGATGAACTTCCATGCCTCACCACATTCGCATCCTTCAACTAAAATGATTAAAGACATTAAAAAAAAAGATCATCTGAACAGTTAGACTCCTACCAGTGACGGAGCTCGGTAAAGTGTTGGCCTTTTTCAGCTGCTCTCGGCGCTCAAACTGTCCCACGAGGCTGTCAGGCCTCTTGGGCTCCTCAGATGTCTGAGGTTTGGAGGAAGGACTTGTGCGCCCACTTCCTTTGCTCTCTGTCGGACTCACGAGGGCGATCTGTGGGAGATACCTGTGATTATTTCAGAGGAATGGAAAGTGGGACAGTGGGTAAGTATGGATGTGGGACATACGCTGTCTCGCTCTCTGGCTTGTTTTTCTGCCAGTTTGGTCTCTCTTTGGCTTCGACGATCCTCGCGGTTCTGCTGCTGCTCTCTGAAGCCTTTCTGCTTCTGCAGAGCCAGTGTAATCCACAAGGGCCCGGCCTCCTTCTCCTGGACCTTAGCGCTGTCCAGTGAGTGTCTGGTCTGTAGGGATGGTTTCTCTGCAAGGGAACACACACGGAAATGTTAATCTATGGTGTTTGTTAAGCTGCTTCAATAGAAACATGGAACTATTTAGCTCCAAACTTAAATTAAAATTTCAGCAAATGAACAGCAAGGGTGCAGGTCACAGAAATGCTGACCTCTCTTGATGAGCTCCGTCTTTCTGTCTGCCTTCTCTCTCCAGGGAATGTTTATGGAGGGGAAGAAGGATCTCTTCTCCTTTGGCTCCTCCTCTCCTTGGACATGACCGTGGCTGCTTTGATGCAACTGGGCCACTATCGATGGTTCTTTGCTCCTGCTGGCCTGCTCCTGGACGGATGACTCTCCGCTGCCTGTCTTCTGAATCGCATCATCACCAGAGAGTCCATGGACTAACTTGGGTAGTGGAGACAAAGGAGGTGTCAGGACTGCACCGGAAGGTTTGGGTGATGTTGGTGGTCTTCGGTAGAGGGATGGTTTTGAAAGCACTTTGTCACTTTCACTGTGAGCAGCTGGGCTAGTAGACTTAGCCAGCTTACCTCGAGTCACAGCAGGGGAGCCAGATTCATGCAAGTATTTGCTAACCACTCCCTCTTTCTGAGGCGATGTTGGACTTAACTTGTCTGAAAAGACCGAGGAAGCATCAGAGTCTGGTTCAATTGGGGTGAGAGGTGAAGGGACACCATCAAAATTGTCCCCGGCACTGTAGCGCTTCTTTCTTTTCTCTGCGGACTGTTCGCTGTGAAAACGCAGAGAAAAGTTAGTCCTCCTTAGCTTTATACCAAAAGGAGAGGACTTCACCTCACCGTCCTGCCCCCGTTCATCTCCCTCCTCTTTGCTTTCAGATGACTCTGATTTGCTGTGAGGCCGGCTCTTCAACTCTAACTTGTCTGGTCTGTCTCCAGGGCTTGGAACCAGGAAGGACGGGAGGTCTTTGGCAAACATGCACTCCTGTGAACCTCTTTCTACGATGTGTACAGATTTACTCGTCCTGCTCTGGGGTTTGATGATAGGAGGTGGGGAGGCAGCGGTGGGACTATCAGATCGTACTGCTTCCTCTCCCGCATCTTTACTCTCTGAACCAAAAACCTCAGAGTTCCTATTTGAATCTCCAAACTTCTTCTTCGCAGGGGTGATGGAGAACTTGGCACTTGCAGACATCGTCTTTCTGAGGTGTGCATGAGCAAATGGAGTCTGTTGTTCTTCACTGTCGAGCAGAGGCTGAGTCCTGCTCGGTGGATCAGGGAACTCCTCATACTTCCCATCCTCTACACCCTTGAATATTTTTGATCTGATGCTCGCCCATTCAGCCAACACGGCAGCACCAGAGTGATCTGTGGAGGGTGCACACTCATTGAGGGATTTGGTTTTTCCAGACTTACGGGCTGGAGACGTTTTGCTTTTTGTTGACAGTGACTCCTGGGCCTTTTTGTCCTCCCCCAGTCCGAGCAGGGACTTGCATGCGTTGTCTTTGATCTGGTCTAAATTGACAGCTGTCCCACATAGCTGGGCGCCTGTCACCAGGATGGCTGTATGGGGGACGTATGGAAATGTTGGCAAGTTGGGGGAGTCTGGCCCTTCAAGGGAGGAGGCCTTAGCTCCTTCCTTTTGATGTGTGGTGGCAGCAGAGCTCTGGTGGGTGTGGGTTGGTGTAACAGGTGTGAGATTAACCTTCTGGAACAGAATCTGTTTTTCTCCAGAGGAGACTTTGAAAGAAAAAGGCCTCTGTCTCTCCTCCATCTCCTTCCAGCGCAGCTCCTCAGCTCTCCGCTTCCTGTCTTGTGCATCCACGCCCCCATCAGCTTCGTCTGAGGACATCCTCCTTTGCTCCTCTGCTTTCCTCATCTTCTTCTCCATCTCTTGCAACCTCAGCTTCTCTGCTTCCTCTTGCTTCTTTCTCTCTTCCTCCTCTATTTGCTTCTTCCTTTTCTCCGCCTCAAGTTCTTGTTGCCTCCTTGCTGCCTCCTCATCTTCTCGCCTCCTCCTTTTCTCTTCCTCAATTCTCTTCTGCTCTTCCAGCTGCCTCTTCTCTTCTTCCTCTCGCTGCCGCCGCACCTCTTCTTTTCGTTTTCTTTTTTCCTCTTCCAGCTTTCTCATTCGCTCTTCCTCCTCTTGACTCCTCCGTTCTTCTTCTCGAATTCGACTTTCCTCCTCCTGCCTCTTCCTCCTTTCTTCCTCATCTCTGATCTGTTTCTCCTCCTCCTCCCTCCTCCTTCTCTCTGCCTCCTCTTGCATCCTACTCTGCTGCTCTTCCTGCTGTTTTCTATGAGACATTTCTTCCTCCAGTTCGCGAAGCCTCAGCTCCTCTGCTCTCTTCAGCCTTTCCTTTTCCTCCTCTCTGAGCCTCTGCTCCTCCAGCTCCCTTCTCCGTCGAGCCTCCTGTTGTTCCTCATCATACAGTCTCTGTTTCTTCAGGTTTTCTCTGGTGTCCTCAACGAATGCTCTGCGCTGGTCATCTGAGTATGTGGCTGCTGCCTCGAGGTCTTCTTGGACGACTTCAGGAACAGAAACCTCCTGGAGGTCCTGGGAACACAGAAGCTATGATTTAAAATACAACAGGTGGTGGAAAATGTTGCAGAACAATTCAAGATGTTTATATACTTATTTAAACAAACGTCAGAGCTCAAAGTTGGTTTTTGCGCACCTGCGTGAAGCGTTTGTGTTTACGGGAAACCCTCTGGTTTTTGGGTTTGATAGAGAGTTTGTGCTTGGCTGCAGTGTTGTCCAAGCGAGGACCAGACTGCGGGATGGCATCTAGATTGATGGACTCGATTGTACCGGTTGGTGGAGAAACTTGTCTGGACCTCGGGGACTTTACTGGACTGCTGTGCTGCCCAGATGAGTGAGCTCCGTGGACCTGCTTGTTAACCACAACAACAAACAACGTATGAGACTGAATCTTGTCTGTTCTGGCTGCATCACACCACCATGTTCTTGGTTGGACAAATAAAACAAAAACCTTTAAAAGGATTTTTTTATGCTCCAGGTTGAAAACTGGACTTTGCTCTCCAACCTGACTTCTTTGTCTAATCTGATATGCTGTAAAAATCCAAGGAATATACATGTTTTTGATAATACTGATTTTACTCTGACACTAAACAGACTTCAGTTTCTTCATGTCATCATCTCTCCTGAATGTTACACATGTTGTTCCTGGTGACACTCTCAGCACTGTCACTGAACGCAGCTGCTCGAAACATTCATCAAAAACCAAATCCCATTTTGTGGAGTTTTCAAAGCGACAAAGTTTAAGCGTTAAATATTTCTATAATAAAATGGACACCCCTTCAGAAGCTGATACACCAGCAGTTATTGCCAATTCCTTTTAGATTAGGGGACCGAGCATCGTCATGCTCAAACATGTTCTGTAATTAATTATTTAGCTCGCTACACATTTGCTACAAGAAATTTTTATTCTTGTAAAAAAATATAGTTGTATAGAAGTGGGTTCAGTGGGAAGGCTTTGGCCTATTAATATAATATATTCCAGACATATACATACATATACATATATATATTTATATACATATATATATATATACATACATATATATATACATATATATATATATATATATATATATATATATATATATATATATATA